AACAAAAAAAAGCCATAAAACCGTCTGCCAGCCCATTTCGCCCAGCAGTCCTGCTTTATCTCTAAGCTATTTGGTCTCCTAGACACCTGTGCACACCTCTTCCCCCTTCTAGCTGCCTGCACTCCCAGCACTCCTCACCCCTCCTTGTTCATTGACCCTCTCTTCTGTGCCATGGAGGAAAATGGAAGCAGCTGTGGAAGTGTTCAGAAGAGAGTCTCCTCCGACTGCGCCACACGTACTGCTCTGTGGCTGAGCACGGGTCTGCAGCCCTCACTCCCTGAGCGAGCTACCTGCACCCCAGGCTGTCCCCCCACGCGCGTCAGACTGTGTGCTCTCCAGGTGGTTCCCTTCTCCCTCACGGATGTTCCTTCCCTGCTGCATCATTGCGGTGGTACAGACATGCTGGTGCCTTCCCCCCAAAGATCATACAAGATCAACCACCCAAAATCTCAGCCCTGCCTCCCCGTTAGACAACCTTCCATTTCTCCCCTTCTTTGTAGAAACTTGCTAGAAGGCGTGATCGGTACCACTGTCCCTGCTTTCTGTCCTGACACTGTCCCTTAGGTCCTGCCCCACACTCCACCAGCGTCACTCCTTCCAGTGTCATCAGTGACCTCCCAGGGCTGTATCTAGTGTCAGTTTCAGTCCTTTCTCAGGGAGGCTGTCATCTGCACTTGACCCTTTCTTCTGAGCACCTTCTTTTTGCCTCCAGGACATGTCTCCTTTCCAGTTCTCTCCCAGTCCTGTGAGCTGCCTCAGCCTTCTGAGCAGACCCCTCCTTTGCCCTGCCGTCATGATAAAGCTGGTATACTCCAGCACTTGGTCCTCGGCCTGTCTCCATCCAGCATCTGTAATGGCTGATCTCCAGTTAGAATGCTGCCACCTGGACTGTCCCAAAATGAGCTCTTGATTGCTCCGCAGCCCAGCCCCACAGAACTGCTCCTCTTAGTAGCATCGTTTCAGCCTAACTGGCGACATTGAAGTGATAAGGCCAAGACCCCCTGGCATCTCTAGCACTTCTGCTCACACTGCGCACCTCTGGTCCCTCAGCACTGCCTGCAGCAACACAAGGGGGGCCTCTAAAGGCTATTTTGGTACACAGTATTCAAAATATGTGCAGTGTTTTCATGACACACATTTCCCATGAACTTTTTCAGGCCCCTGCATGTGTGTGTGTATACACGCACACATACACAGGATCCAACTGCTTCTTACCACCTGAACTGCTGCCACTTGGTCTGATCCACTCTCATTTTCTTGCATGGATTTGCAAGAGCACCCTCTTACTGTCTGTCCCTACCATGGCCTTAGTCTGTTCTGTCTCCATGCAGCTGAGTGAGTGATGGCACAGATCCCGTGACCTCCCTGCTCAAACCCTGGGTGACTTCCATCAGTACGACTTCTTGTCCTTCATTCCTTGTGCCTTATTTTTTTTTCTCTAGCACTTAATATCAATGTATTACATATTTAGTGACTCACGTGTTTGCTTTCGCTTTTATTATAAGCTCTATAAAGGTAGTGACTGACTTTTTTGTACCGCTGTTTTAGGCTATTCTTCCATTTATATAACTGAATACCCCAGACTGGGGAACCTAGGAAAAATAGAGTTAATTCATCTCGTGGCTCTGGAGGTCCAAGGTTGAGGAACTGCCTCTGGAGAGGGCCTTCCTCCTGGTGGGGAAGGTCCCAGCTGTGCAGGGCATCATGTGCTGAGAGGGCAAGCAGTGTCAGCTCTGGCCGCTCCTCCTCCCCATCCTCTGAGAGACCCCAGACTTCAGTCAGGGAGGCCCCGCCCATGACCTGCTCTAATCCCAGTGACCTTCCAGGGGCCTCACCTCTTAATGCTGCAGTCCAATTAAATTGCCATCTCCTCAGTACCTTCAAGCCGATAGCAACCACGTTTCAACACTTACCATTTTAGGGAGACACATTCAGACTATAGAAACTCTACATGGTATGCATATGTGGGCACTCAATAAACATTTGTCAGGTTGCTTTAAAAATGTCATCTGACTAAAAAGGTACATACCTGCTCTTACGCTGTAGCAGACTGTGTGGGCTTGTGGACTCCAGCTCCCAGTGTCCCCACCCAGTGGACGTGGGCAGACCCCCTCTCAGCTGACTGCAGTTCAAGTTACCTGTGTTTTATTGATGTATGTCTTTCATCTCACCATCTGATCATCACAGCAGTGCCGAACCAGTGTCACACATAGAGCAGCTGAGGCTCAGGGTCAGAACGAACCAGTCACGGGACTCATAACAGGCAGGTGGGAGCTTTCTCATCGCACTGCGAAGACTTCCGTGTTTGTCAGAAGTGCACCCTTTCAAATGCCAGTCCCTGCTGGACAGCTTTCTCTCAGTTAAGCAACATGGTGAAAAATACTTACCTTTTTTCACATAGACTTCGATTGACGTTTAATTTAAACCCCAGTTAGTGAGACACTTCCATTCTACTTTGGTGTGAGTAGTTTAATTCTTGTGAAGCACTTGAGCCTGGGAAACAGCATTAATTCCTAGCAAACTCAGCTTTCTACCTGTTCCAGAACAACTTGTAACAACTGGTTAAGCCAGGGTTTAGCAATACTAGCTTATTTATACATGATTGTTATTGCTTTGTTTATTTCAGAGAGACAGACAGCAGAGACAGGCACCCTTGGCATGGTCTGTCCACGATGTCTCCTCCCCTAGCCTCCCTGCCAGCCAGGGTTCGGACACCGGCCAGTGAGCCGGGTAACATGCTCAGGTTGCTCTGGGACCGGAGCCTCCCGTGTGCTTCCAGTACCATGCAGGGCCCTACCGCTTACCTCCCCCTCCATGCTGAGCCTCTACAGGTTTTTTACCAGCTGATTAAAGATGCCTATTTTTACAGTATTTTTAAAGATACAGTTGTCAAAATAGTATTAAAATGCCTCAAAACAATACCAGAAATTTCTTCAAGATTATCAGCTTTTCATCTGTAGACACACAGCCTGTTATTTAGTTAGAGGTCTTTGTGCCGTTCTAGTTGGTACCAGTTCAGTACTTTGAATTTTGTCTTATAGAATGGACACTACTGGACCAGCTAGTGGCCTGCTGGTTAAGGCAGCTGGACCCCATATGGCTGACTGTACAGTTCAAGTCCAGACCCAGTGGCTTGAGAGACACACCAGGCATGTGTGCATGCATGTCCAGACTCCTAAAGGAAGGGAGCGTGAGAAAGGAGAAGAGATGGTGGTGTGACCATTCCCCATGGAGGTGCCTTCTCATCCACCCCACTCTTCTCTGTCTCTCTCTGGCAAGTGCAAGTGCCCTCTGGCAAATTTTTAAAAATTAAGAAATAAAGAATACACACTATTTTTTATAATTTTCACTATTAGAGCATCAGCTTAATAGTTTTTACCTCTGTCTGAAATTAAACAGCTACTAGTGAATGAGATTTTCCTTCCCTGTCCAGCAAGTTCCCTCCAAGCCTGTATGCTGCCACCTTTTCTAAAGTGTATCAGGAGGAAATGACAGGCACTTTCTTCGTGGCTCTGGATCCCCTCGTCGGTCAGCTGCTCACATTCCAGCCTTTCGTGCAGGCAGTCTTGGACAGTAAACCAGGTAAGCTTCAGGGCAGTGTCCATGGTAAATCACCTCTCGGTAACTATGACATGTTGCAGATAGTATTTCCCCTTACGTAGTCATTCTTTTCAGAATGTTAAACGTTTTATTTAAATTCTTCCTACTCTCTTTTCTTGGCATGTATTTCTCATTAAAAATAGCAGTGCCTCTAATTTCTGTATTTATCACAGTAGGCTTTTTGCTGAAAGTATTGATGTGCGGGGACTGTTTTCCTTATCGGATGCAACTTAACGGCTGTGTTTTTCTCAACATGAGATCTGCCCTGTGAGCTCCAGCTCCCACAGTGTCTCCTCCTGCTGGCTGTTATGGACCAGCTACCTTCTCAGCCAGAGGCGGTACAGGCCCTGTGGTGCACAGAGGACCGGAACGCAGGCTCTCCCGCCAGGTACCTGTGGGGGCAGGTAGAGACGGTGCAGGGGTAGGGAAGAGGAGGAGAGGGCTGTTGTTGGGAATGCTCTTGAGGGTAAGTGTTCTGTTATGTTAGATTTTAGTAACTGTTTCAGTTAATTGTTACTGTACAGACCTCATACAGATATTGCAGCTTTACAGAAACGTATACACCTATAACAGATGTAGAAACAGTTGAGCATTTTAATCCTGTTTGGTGCCATTGCCTCGCAGTCAGTATTGCACACATTGCCTGTCACGGAGTAGACCCAGGTCATGACATGTAAGGAGGAGCTCTTGTAGACTGAATGCCGCATCACTGTAGCACCTGCTAGGAAGTTTCACATGGGACCTGTTTGCTTTCTCTCTTTCACCCCACCCCGTGGGATGGCCACACTATAATCTGTTCTCCTCTCGGGATCTTGGGCATGCATGCACACACACCCAGCATGAGTTTCAAGCCTCCAGGTCCAGGACTTGAACTGCGGTTAGCCATGTGGGAGTCCAGTGACATAACCATCACACCATCTGCTGGTCCCCACAGTGACCTTCTTGCTAGCCCCCCGCCCCTGGAGTATCGCCGCGCCCTCACTGCTTCCCCTTCCTGTAGTCCATTCTGTGCACCATCACGAGGTCGGGCCCCTGATTGACCGAGGCTCTGGGCTAAGGTATTAGCACGTGTCAGAGCTCGGCGTGACCCGTGAGTCCCCCGTTCTGTCGCCTTCTCCTTCCTCTGTTAGACCCAGCTCTGCCAGACTGCCGATGTCCTTCTGCCTTTACTTGCCCTTTCTCTTCGTAATCTATTTTGACCTTACCTGTTTTTAATTGTATTTTAAATCCTCTGTGAATGTGTCTTCAGTCATTTTGATCTTAACGAATGTCCCCTTCTGTCTGAACTGTTACACTGTTCTGGTTTACGTATGCTATCTGATCTTGCTAATTAAGTTTCAGGTTCCTCAAGGAGCTCTCACTTTCAATAACTCAGTGCTGTGATAAATAGTTGGTGATTGATTTTTTAAAAAAGCCCAAGAAGTATCTTTTCTTTAAAGGAATTTCTCTGACAGTGAATAATGTTATTTTTATGTAAACATACATACGGGAAACTTGTTGATGCTTTTTGAGACATTGTGCTTTGGTAAATTCCCCATCCGAATGACACGTGACTGTGCTTGCCAGTCCTTCGTTGTCAGTAATGTTGTCCACCTTCTCCATTTCCTGCAGGGTGTCTCTGCTCAAGGCCATTTTCTGCAGCTTCGAACATTGTTCTGGTGAACTCTCCCTCCCAGTGCACATGCAGGCAGTGCAGGGTGCAGGGCAGGCCCTGGGGGCTGTCACCTTGTACCAGCACGTCTGTGTCCACCTGTGTGCCTTCATTGCCTCCCTTCACCCCTCACTGTTTCCTGAGCTGGTGAGCGTCGTACTTGCTGGGTTAAGCTGAGGCCACACCTTGGCTGTCTTTTCATTTTAATTGTGAGTTGTGCAGAAGGAAGTGTGGGACTGCCTTGTGTATATTCCTTTGAATGTTCTCTCCATTTTAACTCCCTTGTGTGCTAGGGAATGGTCAGCCTCGGTTCCTGTCATATTCAGAGCTAATGTTTGACAAAACATTTTAGGTGAAGAGGTGTAGAATGGCAGTGTACCAAGAGGAACGATGTGTAGAATTTTACCTATCAGCATTTACAAAGGAAAGGTGTAAATAGAACTATAATGCTACTGGTCTGTAGATCTTTGACATAATGTAGTTTTCTTTTTTTTTCATCTTTGTGGGAGGGTTTTGGGGTTTTGTTTGTTTGTTATCTAGTGCATGCACTCACCGGAGAGATACAAAGAAGGAGAAAGTGTGAAAGGAAAGCACCCTGAGGGAGGTTGGCCACACCGCAGTCCCCTCACTTCCTTTCTGTGCTCTGGACTCTGGGCACACATACACATGTGCCTAGCATGATTTGCAAGTCGCCAGGTCTGGGACTTGAACTGCACAGTGGGCCATGTGGGACCCAGCTGCCTTAACCACCAAGCCACTGACTTGCCCATTTATTTATTCATCTTATATTGGATTAGAAATTAGGTTGAGAAAATTCTAGGAAGAAATTTCTGGAAAATCTTAGGAAAAAATTTCTAACACATAAAAATCAGTATCATTTAAGATATTACACAATGTTAACATTGAGCACATATCAAACATTACGTGTAAATGGTTAAAGACAAAAACAAATACATATATATTTATGTTCCTTTAAAAATTTCAAGCTTCTTAGAGAATCTGGTTTCTAGTGACTGAGTCACTAATTTAAAAGTACTTTGTTAGATATAGGATGTGTGTGCTCACTTGAGTGAGACGGGGAGAGTGGGAAAGAGAAATCCTAACCCCAGGGATGGCCATGCCGCGATCCCTCCTGCTGGATCAAAACCCTTCTCTCTGGATGTTGGGCACACATGGACCTGCGCCCAGGTTGACTGTCAAGCCACCATCTGAGACGTGCACCGCTCAGTCAGCTATCCGGGATCCACCCGCTGTAACCCCTGTGCCATCTCCTGGCCCCTAGAACAACTACTTGTTAAATATACTTTTTATGTTTGTTTCTTTCTTCTGAGAGAGTGACCGAAAGAAGGAAAGGCACCCACAACCGGATCATCTGGCACAGTCCAGACTGGTCTCAGCTAGCCCAGTTCACACTCGTGCACGTGGCATGCTCCAGAAGGTCCCAGGATGTGAACCTGGAAGCTTGCCCATGTGGGCCCAGCTGTGTTACTGCTGTACCACCACCTGCCCCTAAAGCTACTGGCCCCAGAGCTCAGCACTGCAGTCACATGTAGTGTGTGATAGTAAATGTCGGGAGGATGGCAGCCTAAGTTCTTTGTGATTCTAGAAGCTTTCCCAGTGAGGATCTGTTTTTGGGTTCTAGTAGTGCTTGCTTGTTTTATTTTGGGAACTGTAATGTTAATGACAATTTATCCTGAACTTTTCACATAAATAAACTTTCTCTGTTTTTCATTAGGATGTGGCTCTGTTGGATGCGGTGCTGAGTACTAACATGATCACGTCTTTGTTAGCTATGGATGCGTGGTGCTTCCTTGCTCGGTACAGAATACTTTTTGGTGTTTGGATTAGTTTTTATAGTGACTGACAGTAAATGAGTTTTATGATTTTAAGTTTATAAAATTTTGTTTGAGTGACCCTTTTATAACACCCCTGAATGGCTCAATTTCATATTATAGCACTGACTTAGCCGACAGGTTTCTCTCCTGCCTTCATTGGTTTAAGCCAGCAGCTGCATATTGCTTAGGGTGTCTGTGTTGCTGCCTCTTGGCTGTGGGATAGTGGCGGTTACATGTCCTCATGACAATGTCGAGTGCCTGTGTGCTCCTCTCCTCGCGCTCCTGGACAAGTGCGTGAACCCAGTCGCCTTCTCTTCTCTCCGTATTGCAGATACGGGACTGCCGACCTCTGTGCGCAGCATGTCACCGTGGTGGCCCACCTGGTGAGTGCAGTCACGGGCCCACTGCCTCCATGTGGGTCTCTGGGCACGGACGGTCTGGAAGAATGAATAATCAAAAGGAGAAATGGCATGGTAGCTGCGTTGTTTTGGCAGTTTGTTTGCTCTGCATAAGGGTGCTGTTTTTAAGAAGGATATACTGAAAAAAAACTTTAAAGCTGGACAAATTATCCCGTATGTTCAACATCTTGTAGTTATGCAAATTGTTCTAGGAAAGAAAGATTAGGCTGATTGAGAATAAATTTAAAATTGAACGCCAAGTAAACACTCAGAAGTTAGTTGTAACAAGATGGCCAAGAGTTCATGTATGTGTCTTTCTTTTTTGATGTGATGAAATCAAGCTTTTTTTTTTAATTGCCAGAGAGTACATGTACCCACCAGAGAGACAGACAGAGGAGAAAAAGCATCCCCAGTGTGGCGTGGTTATGCCGCAATCCCTGTACCTCCATTTCTCCATCCTGATGGAATTTGGGGCATGCATGCATATATCCCTGGTGTGTTTTTCAAGCTACCCGAGGCTGGGATTCAAGTCACATGGTCAGACATGTAGGATTCCACCTCCTTAACCACTGGCCTACAAGCCCTGTACATATATATTTATGTTCCTTTAAAAATTTCAAGCTTCTTAGAGAATCTGGTTTCTAGTGACTGAGTCACTAATTTAAAAGTACTTTGTTAGATATAGGATGTGTGTGCTCACTTGAGTGAGACGGGGAGAGTGGGAAAGAGAAATCCTAACCCCAGGGATGGCCATGCCGCGATCCCTCCTGCTGGATCAAAACCCTTCTCTCTGGATGTTGGGCACACATGGACCTGCGCCCAGGTTGACTGTCAAGCCACCATCTGAGACGTGCACCGCTCAGTCAGCTATCCGGGATCCACCCGCTGTAACCCCTGTGCCATCTCCTGGCCCCTAGAACAACTACTTGTTAAATATACTTTTTATGTTTGTTTCTTTCTTCTGAGAGAGTGACCGAAAGAAGGAAAGGCACCCACAACCGGATCATCTGGCACAGTCCAGACTGGTCTCAGCTAGCCCAGTTCACACTCGTGCACGTGGCATGCTCCAGAAGGTCCCAGGATGTGAACCTGGAAGCTTGCCCATGTGGGCCCAGCTGTGTTACTGCTGTACCACCACCTGCCCCTAAAGCTACTGGCCCCAGAGCTCAGCACTGCAGTCACATGTAGTGTGTGATAGTAAATGTCGGGAGGATGGCAGCCTAAGTTCTTTGTGATTCTAGAAGCTTTCCCAGTGAGGATCTGTTTTTGGGTTCTAGTAGTGCTTGCTTGTTTTATTTTGGGAACTGTAATGTTAATGACAATTTATCCTGAACTTTTCACATAAATAAACTTTCTCTGTTTTTCATTAGGATGTGGCTCTGTTGGATGCGGTGCTGAGTACTAACATGATCACGTCTTTGTTAGCTATGGATGCGTGGTGCTTCCTTGCTCGGTACAGAATACTTTTTGGTGTCTGGATTAGTTTTTATAGTGACTGACAGTAAATGAGTTTTATGATTTTAAGTTTATAAAATTTTGTTTGAGTGACCCTTTTATAACACCCCTGAATGGCTCAATTTCATATTATAGCACTGACTTAGCCGACAGGTTTCTCTCCTGCCTTCATTGGTTTAAGCCAGCAGCTGCATATTGCTTAGGGTGTCTGTGTTGCTGCCTCTTGGCTGTGGGATAGTGGCGGTTACATGTCCTCATGACAATGTCGAGTGCCTGTGTGCTCCTCTCCTCGCGCTCCTGGACAAGTGCGTGAACCCAGTCGCCTTCTCTTCTCTCCGTATTGCAGATACGGGACTGCCGACCTCTGTGCGCAGCATGTCACCGTGGTGGCCCCCCTGGTGAGTGCAGTCACGGGCCCACTGCCTCCATGTGGGTCTCTGGGCACGGACGGTCTGGAAGAATGAATAATCAAAAGGAGAAATGGCATGGTAGCTGCGTTGTTTTGGCAGTTTGTTTGCTCTGCATAAGGGTGCTGTTTTTAAGAAGGATATACTGAAAAAAAACTTTAAAGCTGGACAAATTATCCCGTATGTTCAACATCTTGTAGTTATGCAAATTGTTCTAGGAAAGAAAGATTAGGCTGATTGAGAATAAATTTAAAATTGAACGCCAAGTAAACACTCAGAAGTTAGTTGTAACAAGATGGCCAAGAGTTCATGTATGTGTCTGTCTTTTTTGATGTGATAAAATCAAGCTTTTTTTTTTAATTGCCAGAGAGTACATGTACCCACCAGAGAGACAGACAGAGGAGAAAAAGCATCCCCAGTGTGGCGTGGTTATGCCGCAATCCCTGTACCTCCATTTCTCCATCCTGATGGAATTTGGGGCATGCATGCATATATCCCTGGTGTGTTTTTCAAGCTACCCGAGGCTGGGATTCAAGTCACATGGTCAGACATGTAGGATTCCACCTCCTTAACCACTGGCCTACAAGCCCTGCTCTTGATTTGTAGTTATTTCTTTCATTTAGGATTATTTGATCGTGATCAGTGCTTTTGAGAAAAGAAATCAGGTTTTCTTTTTTTTGGAGAGGTATTCGCTATAGAACACGTGCACTCGCCAGACAGACAGAGACAGACATAGAGACAGAAAGCGAGAAATCACCCCTCAGGGGGGATGGCCACACCGCAATCCCTTCTCCTCCATTCTCCTCTCAGGGTCTTGGGCACGCATGCACACGTGCCCGGCATGAGTTTTAAGCCACTGGGTCCGGGACGTGAACCGCGGTCGACTACGTGGGAGTCCAGCGACATAGCCATTACTCTAACTGCCGGTTCCCGGAAATCAGGTTTTCTCAATTGGTTTTGAAAAGGAAATGATTTAATAATGACTCTTCAAAATCTTTGCATCATTGGGAACCAGCAGTTAGCATAATGGCTATGTTGCTGGACTCCCACGTAGTCGACCGCGGTTCACGTCCCGGACCCAGTGGCTTAAAACCCAAGCCGGGCGCATGTGCACATGTGCCCAAGATCCCAAGAGGAGAATGGAGGAGAAGGGATTGCGGCGTGACCATCCTCTCTGGGGGGTGATTTCTCGCTTTCTGTCTCTCTTTCTCTCTCAGTCTGTCTGGCGAGCACACGCTCCCTATAGTGAAAAACCTCTCAAAAAAAAAAAAAAAATCTTTGCATCATTGACCTTTTTTTTTTAGTTCTGAGATATCTCACGTATTCCACGTTAGATGGTTATAACCTCTTTGTTATTTGTTGATTTTTATCCCTGGCCTTTGACATGAGTAGTTGGTAGGCCCAGGAAGCTTTTATTTCCTAGTAGAGTTATTTACTTCTTGGTGTGTCTTTTAAGGATTGTGTACACTTAGACTGTATCAAACCCAGTAAGATGTGTGATAACATGAACAGCTGACACCCAAGGCTAGTGGTCTGAATCATCTCTTAGCTCACTTTACTACGTTCTGAACACATCTTGCACAAAACAGATTGTGGTTTTTTTCTTTTTAATTTGCCAGTTGGTGCATGTGTTCTCTGGAGAGAGAGAGAAAAAGGGGAAGTTGGAGATCACCCCTAGGAGAGATTGCCATGCTGCAGCCCCTTCTCTCCCACTCTGCCCTCGGGATTTTGAGCACACACGCACACACCTCCAATGTGATTTTCAAGCAGTCAGATCCAGGACTTGAACCATGCGGTCAGCCACATAGGATCCAGTGCCTTAACTAATACCACCAGCTGGTCCCTCGGAGTGATTTTTATGTGCTTTATGTCTCAGGTTTCTTTTAAATAAAAGGTTTCCTACTGTAATATGATAAGAATCGATAATAGTGAATTTGTAAAATGTTTAATGAAGCCTCCAGCTTGTAGTGATACCTCCCCGTTCCCGCACTGTTGCGCTAAGTGAATTGCGTTTGACCAGGAGGATTCACAGAATAAGTTCTCATCATAAAAGCAATTAGAGGGACCAGCTATGTCGCTGGACTCCCATGTAGTCAACCACGGTTCGCGTCCCAGACCCGGTGGCTTAAAACTCACACCGGGCGCGTGTGCGGGTGTGCCCAAGATCCCGAGAAGAGAGTGGAGAATAAGGGATTGCAGCGTGGCCATCCCCCATGGGGAGTGATTTCTCGCTTTCTGTCTCTATGTCTCTGTCTTGTCTGGCGAGCGCACACGCCCTATAGCAAAAACTTCTAGAAAAAAAAAGCTATTAGAAATAGAGCTTACAGAGGGTATTTTTAATTATAATGTCAAAAGTTCTATCTCATTATAAAAGTAATCTAGATTCATTGAAGAAAAAACTTGAAGAAAATCCCCAAATTAAAAATTACAATAAACTCTGATTATATCTCCCAGAAAGAGCCACTGTTAATATTTGGGAATATTCCATTTGATAACAGTCTGATTTCACTTGGCCAATCTCTTTTATCTTCCAGATAAAGTCTTGCCCTGGAGAGTGCCAGCAGCTCTCCAGCCTGTCCATGCTGTTGAAGCGTCTCTTCTTCTTCATGGTCCCGGCCCAGCAGGCAAGGACATCTCTTCCCTGTCTTCAAGGAAATGCTGAGGAGCAAATTCAGACTCCTCTAAAGGCCTCCCCAGCTCCACATTAATTGTGAATTTGAGTGCTGACATGACTAAGCATAAATTTTATGTGTGTGTTTTAATTTTTGCCATAAGGCACGTGTGTTTACCAGAGAGAGAGAAGGAAAGTAAGAAATCACCCCTGGGGTGGATGACCGAGTCACCATACATTGTTCATTCTGCTCCTGGGAGTTGGGGCATACATGTGCCCAGCAAGATACTCAAGTCCAGGGCTCAAACAGTGCAGCTGGCCACGGACCCAGCGCCTTAACCTCCATGCCACCTCCTGGCCCCTCAACATTTTAATATATTGATTTTTTGCTCATTGCTTTAGATGGGTGTAAATTTGATGTTCCTGCTTAAATTATAGATGATTATTCTGTCTTCCTGAAATCTGTCATTTCCCGTTTTTCCTATTTTTGCGATGCATGAAATGAATTGTGATGCATCTGTACTCCCTGCCCTTTTTAACTGACTTTGAAGAACTAGAATATCGTTTATACACTTGCTGATGACTAATTGTTTTCATAGTAAATAAGTTGAACTTTTAGGGAAGAATTGAAGTGTGTTGAACCTTACTTTGCTGTTCAAAGAAAACATGCTATGCCATGACAGAGGGTTTCTGCCCACACAAGTACGTGTGGCTCTTGGACTGCGGCCATCAGAACTCCTCTAGGAATGTTGGTTGTGTTGTTTTGTTTTGTTTTAAAGGGAGATTGTTGCTATAGGGCACCTTTGCCTGCTGTAGAAACAGAGAGACAGACAGAAAGTGAGAAAACACCCCCCTGAGGGGATGGCCACATCGCAGTTCCTTCTCCATTCTTTTCTTGGGATTTTGGGCACACACAAGCCTGGTGTGAGTTTTAAACCACTGGGTCTGGGACTTGAACCATGGTTGATTGTGTGGGAATCCAGTGTTGGAACAATTATGCCATCTGCTAGCCCTTCCTCCAGGAACTTTTTGAAGAATACAGGCTCCAGGACTCTAAGCTGGGAATGGAGTTGAGGATTTGGAGTCGGGCTCATACCATGCAATTAAAATACTGAATATGAGAGCTATTATTTAGCTCTTATGCACCCATTCATCTGTCTCCTATTACTCTTGTTTCTTGAACAATTTAGGTGGAATTTATCCAGAAATTTTCTCCAAAAGAAGCAGAAAATCTGGCTCTGTGGCAGCATATCTCCTTGCAGGCGTTCCCTGCTGAGCTGAGGAGACGGGCTGCAGACGAGGTGGCCCACGCAGGCACAGCTCAGTGCAGGAAGTGGCTCAGCGGCGGCCACTCTC